AATAGGGTGTGAAAAACGCACGGAGACTCTGCGGATAGAGGAAGCATTTGCGAAACGCGCCGTTCAATGTTACCTTCAATCGCTCAACAGAAGGGGCGCATTGAACGATACGGACAAAGACTTCATCCAAATCCACACGCAGATCTTGATGGGGATTTCGAGGCCATCTACGCCGTACTACCAGCACGCATCTCTAAGCCTCACTCAGATGGACGCGAATGTAACTCTTGAGAACAAGCACTGGGGGTCGTTGATGGGCTTGGCAAGTATTCAGACGGTAGCTTGCATATTACGACGGCACCAAATTGGGCTAGAGTATCTTGTATAAATATACCCACGCTCTGAATATCTATTAGCAAAGAGGTTTGGATGGATGAGACTTCAGGGTTGGTTCTCCTACCTGTCAATTAAGAGATTAGTCGTGCGCCCTGACTTCCTGACAGAGCCTGAAGACATAGAGGAAGTTGAGCTTGTGGACGAAAAGTAGCGAAGGAGGGTTCCAGCGTGAGGAACTGAGCTTGTCTCTGTAAGAAGTATGCAGATGTAATGTAGACGAGAGAGATTATAAGGTTGGCGGAGGTGCATACTTCTCCCCTTCTTCCCGCTGCTCCCTGACGACCCCACACCTGACCTCACCACAACCACCCTCATCCCCGTTCTCCGCTCACTTTTCGACTACAACAACGCAGCACTCCTATCCAACGGCACCAAGTCAGAGCCCTTCAACAACGTCCAACGTGGACTCCTGCAAGGCACCGTCCTCGCCCCCCCTCCTTTCCAACATATACATCAACGGCCTCCCCCAATACCTCAAACTCCACTGCAAACACCATCAAACTCGACCACCTGCACCTCGACAGCCTCCTTTTCGCCGACGACTCTGCCCTCATGGCCAACACCCCAAGCGACGCCCAAGCCCTCGTCGACCGTTGCCAACAATGGGCCAGCGAAACAGGCACCACCTTTTGTGTAGAATCTCCATCTAGTCACGCGGTTTAGGAAGTTGAAGGGGTATACGTAAACAACTACATCCAATACATATGAGAATCTTTGCTAAGAACCAACCCGCATCAGGTCTTTCATTCACGGATTAAGAGTCCCGATTCGCTCAAGATGAAGGATCCTATCGTTTAGGTCTCACCCACATCACAACCCTTGCTACCAACAACACTAAACTGCTACTGCTACTACTGCTGCTACTGCTACTACAGCTGCTACTACTACTACTGCTACTCCTCCTGCTATCGCTACCCATCCGGCTACTGTCGACTCGGACTTTACAGCTTGTTTTCGTTTGTCGAAAGGCCTGCGCCAACCCCTGTCCGATCCGAGAGGCCTACATGACCCTTCAAAACTTCCTCCTAGTCATGCAACAGATCGCGACGGCAAGCGTCATTAGGATTGTCCGCGAGGCGAAGAAGCTCGGCCATTCCGCCATTCCGCCAAGAGCCGCGAGATGGAGTTTGAGGAAGATTTTGTGCGACGCGTCAAGAACGGTGCAACCGCTCACGATCGAAAAGACTGGAGGCATCTCCCTGAAATATCCACCTTCACCGATATCCGCAACCAGATAGACAAGAACGCCAAGGTTGAAAGCGAGTCGAGTGCCCACCGCAACGTGCCAGCAAATCATCAATCAGAATCCGCTGCAAGTCTCTTTTTGATGCAAAAGCAAACTTTGAAGTTGATGCAGTCCATGCTGAGCATGAATCCCGCCCTTATCATGGCAAAGCCTACCAACAACCGCTCTGGCAACATCTACAACGATGACCCCAACAAATTGTAACAATGTGTTTGTTGGGAATTTGAATCCTGCGACCACTGATTAGATTTTGATGGCGGCCTTGAAGGAGTTTGGGGAGGTGGTGAAGGCGTGGATTGTGGAAGGACAGATCAACTGGTATGTCAAGGAAGATTGTATTTGCTGTCTTTGCAAACAATACGGGTGCGGCGGCGGCGGTTAAGGCGGGAAGCTGCACAATTCATTCAAACGTAGTTAGGATTCAGAAGGCTCTCAATAAAGCTCGTTCTTCCAACTTATGTGGTTCTCGTCGAAAGACATGACTATCCGTGTCGGTCAGCTGGATCCCAATGCTTCAAACGCGGTAAGAGCTAAAAGAGAAGAGCGCGCAACGGCCTGTTCTATTTGGATTTGGCTGCAGTATCACTACTCTGCAACAATAAGAGTTCAAGCCCCTCCGAAGAAGCCATGCAAGGGATGTGGTCAAAAAATGGATTGGAGAACTACGGGACATATCCAAAAGCATAGCAATGGAACTTACTTCTACCAACAGTTTTTGTCAGAGTTGCCGCAAGACTGAATCAAATGATAAGGTCAGTAATACATTTGATTGCCATATGTTTATGTAAGGCTTGACACTAACTACACTCTGGTTTTCTTTTTGTTTCAAACAGTCGAATCCGGTCGTAAGTATCAACCTGCGCTTTTTGGGAGCGTCCACCGCGTGTTTTGGTGTTTGCTTTGTTTTCATCTTTATTAAGCATCCAGCGCTTCGGCGTGGGCGATGTTGTGGGATATGTTAGGCGACTTGAAGCTAATCATTGTTTGTTTTTCCCAAAACCAACCCACCTTCTTAAGGGAGCGTCCACCGCGTGTTTTGGAATATGCAATGGGATGTGCTTGTTAACTAACTCGTCTTCATCTATTTCTCCTTCACGACGACCATGACTATTAGAACAATGAAAAGGTAAGTATTAAGCGTCCACCGCGCTTTTTTTGTGTTTATTTAGTGGTTCTTTCTCGGTACTAATAGTTTTGTTTCTTTACTTTCTTTTTCATTCAGTACAACGCTCTAGAGGGCAAACACATCAGCCAAAGAAAGTGGAAGGAAAAAGCTGACGCTCGCCGTAAGGGAATCAAAATCCCTGACCAGCCGTACGCAGACCTTCTCTTTTCAAAGAGCAGCGAACTTACAACTACAGTCGACGCCATGCGATTATTCAATATGTTTGTTTTATTTGAGATTCTTGTTAAATGCGAAGAGGAACTGGAGGAGGTTTGAATAACATTTTTAAAGGAATGTTTGGACATTTTTTTTAGTAGTATAGTTAAACTAAAATAAAGCAATAGAACATTGCAGAATTGAGGCGAAGTGCTTAGTGATGATTTGAAATTCAAGTTAAAAGTGTGTGGAGGAATGAGAGTTGGTAAGAGGGGACAGATTTTTGAGAATAGCTTTAGGTTCATCGTCAGAGGAGGAGCGGCGAAGTTGATCACGAAGAGATGCGTCGAGAGTGAGCCAGACATTGTAAACGGGAGAATGATCACGCTATTGGACGAGAACTTGTTTGACGTGATGGTTGCTGATGCGAAGGAACCGAGAGGCAAGAGGTTTGTCGATGGTGCGTTTTGCAATGGGAAGAGAGGAGAGAGGGTGAGGTGCAGTGTCATCCCATAACTAAGGTCAAAGTTTGCTTGGGTGGAAAACGGGGTGGACGCGCCAGTCGTGAGGAAGGTCGAGTTTGTAGGAGGGACCGTGTTTGGAAAGGATGCGGTAGGGACCTGTGAATTTGGGACCGAGTTTGTTGGAGGGGCGGTCTTGAAGGTTGGGGGGCCAGAAGTTTTTGGTGGAGAGGAGGACGAGATCGCTAGGTTTGAAGGGGTCGTCGAGTCGACGTTTGTTGGCTTCGGCGGCGTATTTATCCTGAGCGTCTTGGACACGTTGTTTGGCGACTTTGTAATTAACAGTTCTCGGTTCAGCCTGTTTTCGGTAAACATTGATGTATTCCTCTGAAGGAAGACCGATTATAAAACTAATCGACCTACCAGTTGTTTCACCAATAAGCGCGAGTTTGTCTTTCCATTCATCAAACCCATCTTTCATTGATTGGCAGGGTGATGCAGCGGCAGCAGACGAAAGGGTCTTGAAGTAGATGGTTTTCAATTCGCTGAAATATTCAAATTGTTGTTGATGGGGTCCAATCCGGGTCTACGGGGTCGATTCTTTTCGAATTCTTGCAACTGATGCTTTCATTCGGTGACAAAAGACGGCGTGAAGTGCGAAGAATAACACCATCGGTACCCAAACGAAGTAATGTAAGTTTTCGTGGTGTTTCTGAGGTTCCTCACCACTATTGCCGCATTCTGTTTCTCACCACTACTACTGCATTCTGATTCGCATCGCTTTGTCATTCGCGTGTTACATCAAACATTTTACTTCAGGCGCTTTTTCATTCCAAACCAATACACCCCCGTTGAGGAATGAGGATCTCGAAACCTTGCTACAACTGTCTCGAAACCACATGACTGTACCTGATGATAGAATGGAACGAGCATTAAACTTGGTCAGATGTGCTCGCGAGAACGAGGTCACCTTTCGGCAAAACATACACTTCTACGTACGAAGCTATGCGCTGACAATTCAAGAAGCCGCTGAGTTCGTTCGGAACTGCTAGACGAACTCGGCGGCTTCTTGAATTGTCAACGAGAAAGTTGTAGCAAGGGTTGAATGCAGCAATGGTAGTGAGAAGCGTCAGAAAGACCACGAAAACAACTCACATAACTTCGCTTGAGTATCCCCAGAGAGAATCAATGGTGCTCGCTCGACTGAGGCTTGCCACAGTTCGTTGTATCTCCGTTGAAACAGAGAACGTCTATCGACATCCACAGGCTGAGTTGAAGGGCTTTCCTCAAACCATCCAGCTGCAGTGACGGGACCAACAGGCTGAGAGGATGATGGATCCCTGCGCGATCCAATAGTGAAGTCGCTCACACTGCGTACCAATCTGCGCACTGCACTGGATTCCCAAATTTTCTAGGGCAAAAGGTTGCTGTTTCGAGACCCTGTTAGACCAGTGGTAGATCATCCAGTCAAAGCCGTTTTACACATTTTGAATCAAGAGCCAATAAAAGAGCCAATAAAGACAAATAAGAGAATATCATAAAGAAAAGCCGAGAGAACGACGAAACAAAAGTTTGACTAGTTTCTCGGTGACATGTATTTCATTGCTTAACATTAACTTGCACGTAGACTCACAACGCCCTGTTAGATCAGCGGTAGATCATCAGCCTTCTATAGAGGAGTCAGCTGAGGGTCGGCGGTTCGAAACCGCCACAGGGCTAATGTAAAATGAGTGCGGGTTGATCGTCACTTTTTTTGCAACAAGGAGCTGTGTCTTTAGTTTACGTTTGAAGTCGATCGGGGAAGATGCGAGAGAGAGCAAGGCTTTTGGTGGAGAGACCCGATTTTTAGTGTATCGATATGCAAAGGAGGTTGTGTGTGCGGCTGTGGGTGTTTGTGGTGATCGAGTGCTTCGAGTTGGACAACCCAGCCCAGTGGTAAATGGGCGTGTGGGATCGCTTTGGCTTAGAAAGCCACGAGAAATCAAGGAGACCAGCAGAGAGAGGAAAAGTATGCGCATTCTCGGCATCCTTGTTGAGCTTTATAGGGCGTGTGCGTAACGTTTGCTTCAATCGCCACCAACGAGCTGCAGCGCAAAGGGTCGAATCCATTTTGGTTGCGGAAGAGGCAAAACAAACGCAATCGTCGAAACCCAGAAACTTCTCCACGCTCAGGGTCCTCAACCAAAACAAACAAACAATCTGCAGTCAATCTGCAGTCAATCTGAGTCAATCTGCATTGTCAAGCGAGACCTTCCACGCCATCTTCCTCCTCCGCGGCGGTAACTTCCCCTCCTTTCATGCGGTTCCATGACAACTGATCCTCCGCTGGCGACGTCGCCAACTACATAAATGTAAAACAGACAGCCTGATCCCCCTTCCCCCAACCTTTTCTCCGCAACCACCTATATCGCAAACGATGATCATTGTCAAAGACGCACCTGTGCTCGTCAAGGCCTCTCGAGGCCGCGCTGCAAGCGAAACAACAAAGCTCAGCATCATGGATCAAGTCGTCAGCCGATTTCCTCTTGTCCTGATGTATGCTTTCAAGGCACCCGCTGATCGCTCATCGGCGGATGAGCCGTACTACACTCCGCCCAAGATGCAGCATGCTCTCTCCAAAGTGCTGAACTCGTATCCATTTCTCTGCGGGACGATGACTTATCCTGTAAACAAGGATAGCAACAAGCTCGAAATGGTAGTCCAACACACCAACCACGGCGCACTCTTTATCTCCGCCTGCTGCTCATCCACTACGACCCTCTCCGCCTGCTTTCCTCAAGACGCAGACGTCCTCAACCTCTCCAACCTCTCGCACGATCTGATGCCCTCGCCTCTCGCTCCATTCTTAGATAACCATGCAAGCCCGTTACTCGAAGTTCAAATGACGACTTTGGAATGTGGAGGTGTGATTTTGGGTCTGAAGAGTCATCACGGGCTGCTGGACGGTGAATCTGGGTTCCGGTTTGTTGCGGATTTGGGGAGGTGTTATCGAGGTCTTCAAGTGGAAGAATTGTGTCACGATCGCGGGTTGTTGAGTGACCTACGTGAACGAGTCGAGGTCAAGTTCAATCATGCAGAGTACGATCTCCCCGTCAAGAAACCATCAGCCACCTCCTCCGGCATCATGGGTAACTGGACACCTCCCCCCATGTCCGCCCGTGTCATACGTTTCCCAACCCCATTCCTCAAATCCCTCAAATCCACACTTTCCCCTCCATCCTCAAATGACTCTTACATCTCCACCAAAGACGCCCTCACCGCCTTCCTCACAACCTGCATAACAACCTCCCGCTCACGTTTCAACCTCCTCACCACGCCCCCAGACTCTTACATAGGCATCAATACAGGTATTAACGGCCGAAACCGACTCTCCCCTCCGCTTCCCGCACGCTACACAGCCAACGCCATCTGGAACGCCTACTCGTCGCACCCGGTATCGGATCTCACCACCCCAACAATAGAAGGAATGTCCAAAGTCGCTCAACGGATCCGAGCGGCAGTCTCCAACATGACTGACGAGTATCTGCGCGACGCGATTCACGTCATCAGCAAAGAAAGTGGGGGTGATCCGAGGAACGTGGGTCTTGCTGCAAAGTATTATTTGGGGAAAGATGTGTTGATGACTTCTTGGGCTGGAATGGGTCTTTACGAAGCGGATTTCGGTTCAGGGAGGGCAGTCTATGCAGGGCCGCCGAGGTTGGAGGGGGATGGGATTTTGGTGATGCTGGACTCGAGGGCTGAAGGGGCGGGTGAAGTGGGCGGGTTGGAGGTGTGTGTATGTTTGGTGGAGGGAGTGATGCGAGTGTTCGAAGGCGTTTGCGAGGAGATGAATGCGCTAATCTTACAACAATAAATGGTTGTACATAAAAGTTGATTATTGTCACAAAAGAAGTGAAAGATACTCTTTACTGTTCAAAAATTTAAAGTTTAATAGATAAATAGTGTAGGGATATGCATAGTGTAATAGGATACAGAAGAAACTGATCCCAACAAAAAGCGAGGAAAAGAAGCGAATCACTCCTGTGCGTTCCCTTTCGACCTTGGGTGCCTCGGTTTCATGACTCTCCTCCTCTCCTTGTCGAACGCAGTCTTCTGCTTCTGGCCCTCGATCTTGGAAACATCCGCGATAAGCTGCCCTGCATGGTCGTACTTGGGCTTCTTGCGGTTTTTGCCAGCATCTCCAAACTCTTCCTCGAATCTCTTGTTACGTTTCGCCATGACACCGTGGCCGAAGCGGTTTGCTTGATCGTGTGCGACGGCGTCGTCGAGTTCGCGGAGGGATGCAAAGTCGTGTTCCAAAGCCTATAACAATGTTCAAAGTTAGATAAAAATGAGTACAACATTGATACAAAGCTGAAAAATGCAAAGATAACTCACAGAAATCTCATTTTGAATCTCAGATAGCCCACTGGACCTCGCCACAGCCTTCTCCCTCTTCTTCCTCTCCTTCGTCACAGTGTAACGCATGTAATTCTCCTCCTCCATCTGCGTGATCCGATCCAGCTCTTCATCCTTCTTATTCGTCTTGCGCTCGCGGATAGAGTAGCCAGTACCATGTGCGGTGACTTCTTCGGGCCGGACGTCGAACACATCGCGGAGGTCGTTGATGATTCGTGATTTTTGGGAGCGGGACTTGAAGCGGTCCGAAAGTTCGCCTTTTTCTTTAGGTTTCTTTTTGTCATCCAAGAAAACGGGTGCGACGCGTGGGGGTCTGTAAATTCCGCTGTTGTCCAAGCCACCGTCACCATCTTGAAGTTCGTCGGCATCGTTGGAGGCGAAAGCCATAGGGTTGGGTCGGAATTGGAGGGGGTCACCAAGCGAGGTGTCCTTGGTGAGTTTTTTGGTGCTCTTGTCCACGTCGTCGTCGTCCGTCACTAGGAACTTTTTGCGCAAGTTTTCGACAGGATCTCCGTCTTCGTTTTCAGCGTCGTTCGCAATCTTGACAAGCTTGTCGATTTGGTATTTCAGTTTGCCTTCCAGTGGCTTGATCTTGTCCAACACAACACGCAGCTCAATCAGCTGGTCAATGGACGGGTGGTCTTCAATAGGCTGGCCATGGATCTTCATGAGTGCAAAGAAGGAGAGGTTGGCCATGTACGATAACATAGAGTGGAGTTTGACTTCGAGCAGGGAAACGCCTTTTGATGTTTTCAGTTCGTCAGAATCAAGGCTTTTAAGGAGAGGTGTGAGCTTGTCTTTGGCTTCTTTGACTTTGGAGATGAGGACGCTGATTTGCTTGACAAAGCTGGGGGCATCGGCTTTGACGATCTCGAGGAGTTCTGGCGGCAGTTTTCCAACTAGATTATCTTAAGTCAAGAGATAATGTTATGATGCAATCAAAACATTTAAAACTATGAAACAGGAAAAATCAAAGATGGAAAGTTCGTCCAAAGCAAAGATAGTGGTAATGTAAAAGCCAGTCGCCAACGACATTATCATTTGACACAAGTGTCTTCAGATAGGTCGTCAAGAAACCCACTTTCCAAAAATTAATATTCCACGCTTAACCATCTAGCCGAGCACAGAGCGGTAGCCCGACCAGAAACAGCGACAAGTCCAAGATAATCATGAATCGGCAACCATTTGAGGGGTTTTCTTAACTTCATGACGCTTGGCCAAGTCTTGACGTGGGTAAAATGTAACACCTCACAACAAAAGAAGACTTGTGGATAAATGATCGAATCGTTGAGATACATACCATATTTGCTCGATTGGGATGGTGATTGCTTGGAATCGTCAAACTGTTCCTCGCTTTCTTCACTCTCTTCAAGACTAAACTCGAGCTTGCTGTCCTCCTCTTCGTCTTCCCCCACATCGCTCTGTTCCTGATCATCACGTTCTTCATCATCATCGACCATCCTGCTCTCCGCATTTTCTTCATTTGCAATTGAGCCGGAGTCATCATTCTCGGAATCTTCTTCTTCCTCTTCTTCATCATCATCGATCATCTTGTTCTCCGCACTTTCCTCATTTGCAATCGAACTGGAGTCATCAAAGTCTTCCTCTTCCTCCTCTTCATCATCATCATCATCCTCAACAGGCAAGTCGAGACTGCTGAGAAACCTTTCCGCGTCCTCTGCGATTGGTGCAATTGACAGAGAAGTTAGAATTGTGAATCTACAGGTCAACAACCAATATCTACCTTCTGCCTTCTTCAATACATTCTTTGGTACTTTTTTTGATTTCAATGACGATGACAATGCTGGTGATCTTTGAAGCTGTTGGTTGGAGTTTTCCTGTTTTGAGACGGATTTGTTTCTGTTATGGTTGTTGGATTTGGAGGGTGGTTTCGGGCCCAGCCGTTGAAGCAAGGAAGGTTTTGACTTCATGGTGCTTAAGCCAGGCATGGAAATTGTAGTTTGGGTGATTGTGCTTTCGATGTAGCCTCGTAGCTGCCTCTGTGGAGTAGTGTGTCGGCTAGGGTATGTGGGGGAGGGATGGGCGGTGTCAGGTCTGTCAGTCAAGGGTGACTTGAAGAAAAAAAAAAGAGAGATGAGTGAGGGATGGATGTCAGCGAGTGAACAATGGAGGGAGGGGGATGGGATGAGATACACGCGACTTTACACCAATAGATCTTGACAAAAGGCGCCGTATGGCCTCATTTTGGAGTAATATACGAGCGAATAGAACAAGCACATTTCTCAACCTAAACAACAATATATATTTGAAACTTCGTTGCTTATTCGTCCTTGACAATGTTGCCCTTCTCAGAAACGTA